CCCTGTAACCTCTCTGTAACCTACCTATATATGAAAACAGAAGCGCAAAACTTACTCGAAGGTGCAAGTAGGTTACAAGGAGGTTACGGGTGGTATAACTCGATTATAACCTCCTAAAATCCTCCCTGTAACCTGTTTGCAGGTTACAGACGTACGCAGCTCTGCGTACGTCTTATGTACGCAAATTTTTTCCCACCCAATTCCCCCGTATTTACATATCTAACATCTCAACTCATTGCATTGTTGAATTACAAGAATATTTAAATTAAATTGAACATAAACTCACCGTTCACAAGCATTTCAAAAATAAGCCAATTTATAACATAAATCAAATTGAACACAAGACAAACATGAACCCACTCAAACTTGGCTCATCTACAACCCACGTAAATGCCACCATTCTTTTATGTGACATTTATATTCGTCACGCAATTCCCACGTATTTACATATCTAACATCTCAACTCATTGCATTGCACTATTCTTTTATGTGACATTTATATTCGTCACCCAATTGGAAAAAAATTGCGTGCATAAGACATACGCAGAATTACGTACGTCTGTAACCTGCAAACAGGTTACAGAGAGGATTTCAGGAGGTTATAACTGCGTTATACACCTTATAACCTCCCTGTAACCTCTCTGTAACCTACCTATATATGAAAACAGAAGCGCAAAACTTACTCGAAGGTGCAAGTAGGTTACAAGGAGGTTACGGGTGGTATAACTCGATTATAACCTCCTAAAATCCTCCCTGTAACCTGTTTGCAGGTTACAGACGTACGCAGCTCTGCGTACGTCTTATGTACGCAAATTTTTTCCCACCCAATTCCCCCGTATTTACATATCTAACATCTCAACTCATTGCATTTTCACCCAAATCTTTTAAATTACGTAAAAAAAATATCGCTATTTTAATTTTTAAATGTAAAATACATCTTTCCATACATGAAAAAAATCTTATTTATATGCATATATACAAAATAAATCTCAAACTTATTAAAAATTTTCATATTTCAAGTAATACACTAGTAATCAATAAACATTTATATCACGTCAACATTTGCTTCCTGATCTAATAGTCATACACCCGGTAAAAAACAAAATGAACCAACATTCCTACAATGTGAACTATTTTATTTTTGATATCATATATACCTCCCACTCCTAAATATTTACATAGCTAACATTTAAATTCTAAATTTTACAATTATATCACCCAAATGTTTCATCTAAAAAAACTATTGAATATAAATTTCATAATCACCAAAAGTTGAGTCACCCAAAATTTCTCCATTTACACAATCATCCTCATCCTTCTTTGATTTGTTTTCATAATTTAGAAAAAAAAAAAGAAATATAAATAAATAAATAATGGTACATCTCTTAGGAAATCTTCCTGTCTCTGAGATTTTCTAAGCAGGGCAACCAGCTAATTCTCACCTAAAAAAATCAGGCATCCAACACCAATAAAGAGATTAACAAACAATCCAGCAGAGAAGAAAAAAATTAAAATTTACATTCTTAGCACAAAATTCTTATGTATTTACCCATCTCATACCACCTAAACTTTCATATTTATATGCATAGCCCTTTAATGCTTTAATCCTGTGCAGGAAAAGTGAATCCAACCTTTTAAAAGTGATAATGATGATATGTACTTAAGATTTGGGTGTTGTGTGTAAATATGAAAGTTTAGGTGTGAGATATGTAAATACATAAGAATTATGTGCTATCTTGCCCACCATCATGAGGCTTTCGTCTTGCAAATTCTACAAAAATCAACCTTCCACCAAAGATCTGTCCAAAATCAGAATAATAAAATATAAGAAGTTAGGAAAGTAAATCATAAAAAATAGATATTTTGATTCAAACTTGAACATGATGAAGTTTTAACCCCTAAATTTAATTTAGGAAGACACGCAAGCATACCCCGCTCAAATTCTATGTATTTTTATATATCTAACACCTAAACATCAAATTTTACATCTATACCAATTTACCAATGCATGAAAAAATTTATTTAATAAAGATTAACCTTTTAAAGATTAAAATAGTAGTATTCTTGATGTGATATGAATGATTTGGGTGGTATAGATGTAAAAAGTAAAGTTTGTGTGTTAGATATGTGAATACATAGGAATTTGGTGGTATGTAAATGGCCCTTTAATTTAAGATATGAGCATTATATGATTAATCTTATTATGATGCAATGACAAGTCTTAAAAGTAAGAAATGATAAAAATATGAAACCCAAAGATTTTACAAGAAAAACTATTTAACAGAAATAATTATGCATTGACGCAAAATATAAAATAGGAAGATCTAATCTGCATGAAGTAAGCAATGGATTATAAATGCAAAGCAGCAGTTGTTGATTCGATGCAAAGATTATATCACATCATACTTTTGAAGTGTCCGAAATCTCTCATGAAGCCCCAAAGAGAGCAAGAGAATTAACTCGAAAGAAATAGGAAGATTTACATAAATACCACTTAAGTCCCATAAATTTACATATCTGACACCTAAACCTTAATTCATACATACCACCTTCTACAAATAGTAAATGTATATAGTTTTAAGGTACTCAACCGTCTAAAAAAAGGAAATTGATGCATTGATGCAAAAAAATGTGTAAAACAACTTTGCCTTTCACATGAATACAACATAAGTGGATGCCACTAAACAATACTCTATCTAATTGAATATTTCTCAAAACCACAAACTCGAGTATGGCTAAAACTGTTGTGAGTTCTGTAAAAGAAAGCGGCATTTTTGCAACCAGAGCAATGACATTACTTGCCAAGATTGATGCCAAAAAGGATATATGTTACACTAAAAAATTCAAAAGACATTTGCATTAATAAAAACATGCTTTATCATCATTAGATGATAAAAGCAATAAAGACATCGAAGATAATGAAGCTACCATTCTGAATATGATGATGAGAATCATGCTGAAAGAGTTATTGTAGTACGATGCATGTTAGCTTCCTATGTTACCAAAGAACATTGGAGAACAAATATTTTTCAGAAGTGTTATTTGCCAAAATAAAAGAAATAAACTAATAATTGATCAATGAAACTTTATTAATGGTCAAAGACGCCCAAAAGACAGATACTAAACCCTTCAAATGTAACCTGTGAGGATTAGTCTCATTACTGGGGCACTAAATGATGCAGGATGCAACTCAAGCGGTTGCTATACTGTTTAATAAGCAAATTTGCTCGTGGTAATTTAGACAAAATTTGAGAACATAGCACACATTTGAGAGAATCACAACAGACATATCAATCTGTGATGCTTCCCAAAAAGGACAATAAAAATACCAGCATAAAATTTACCAACCTACACCGGGAATGTGAAGATGATTTAAACAAAGCAGAGAATGAGCATGCCAAAAAAAATTTAAGCATAGTTGTGATTAAAGAATTTAAAGAATAAAAGTGGCAAATACACTCTAATGTAGGACAATTAGATCAAAGAATCATGCGCCATGTTATTATCCATCATAGAAATTAGAAGTAAAAAATTTAGAGAACACAACAAAACAACAAAGTTTTCGAACTTTGATAGGTTGGAGATAGAATCTCACCATTTGGGTGCCACTTCCCCTCCTCTCGGAGTCCAGTTAAAACATTATGATGAGACAAAAAAAAAACTGTTTAAAACTCACAAATATAAAACTCATGCAGCAAACAAGCATATTATCATATAAGAAGGCATTGGCGCATATGTGAAGTGGGATTGATACGAATATATATATATATATATATATATATATATCTCACAAAAAACAAAAAACTAATACAAAAAACAAGAAGAAAATAAGATGGGATAAAAGGTTCTCACATAAATATAACCAGATTATAAAATTTCTCCAAAATACATTCTAATATGATAGTATGAATCAAATATTTGTAAAGCATTCTCTTAGTATTTTAACAAATCCAACATCACTCAAAATGGAGCACTAAAGCAGAAAAGATAAGTCTAAAATACCAAGATTGTGCAGATCTGTCAGAACTAGAAGCCAAGAATAATGAATTGAAATCGAAGAAAGCTGAAGAAGTTCCAAGTGCTAACAAAAAATGCTCAGAACATGAACAATTGAATGCCATACAAAATTGGAATAGTTCAAAAATAGATTAGATGCACTTATGCTGCTCCTAATAGTTATGCCTTTTGGAGAATGTTTTATGGTTACTTAGGATTTAATCAATCTACAGACTCTCCTAGTTATGTTGAGCTGGTGGACACTTAGGGGTGAGCTCACTCTCAAGAATGGGGAGAAAGGATTTTAGAAAAAATGACTCATTAGATGTCACAACTGTTTTCATGGATGCAACTAAGTCTGGCATATTGAGGTTGTTGATTCAGTAGTTATCAGAAAGATCTGCAACATATCCTTGTGTTCAATTATTTTCAAGATTTAGAAGAAACATGCACCTCTATCATATAACTTTCACATTGTTTCAGTGGGAACCTTTTAAACCTCCTAAAGATTGTAACACTCTCTTCATAATAAACACTTGATAGCTTTTGTGATTAACAGCTAGTTTCTAATATATTTGATCATCTAGATTTATTTGGACACCAAATGACTCGGCAGGTATCACAAGTAGTTCTTGATGTTAATAAGTTTAAGAAGTTGAAGGTGCAATTGATATCATATTCATGAAGTAGATTCACTATATGTGTTTCGGGTTCAATTTTTTTAGGATTTCAAAAAGACCGATACTCGTACCATGTAACTTTCAGATTGTTCAATCAGGAAACCTTTTGGACCTCACACAAATATCATGACATGCGCTCCTTTAAAAAATTCCTTTAAACTTTTTTAAACATAACCTTGTTTCTAATATACTTCGTTCCTTCTGTCTATTTGACCCTAAACAATTAAATAGATATCACACCTAGTTCCTTGTATGCTAATAGGTATGAGAATTTCAAAGTGTTGCTAATATTACAGTCAAGTGGATCACAGAATATCCATTTGGTCCAATCATTTTCAGGTTTTGCAAGTGACGGACACTAGTAGCACGCAAGTTCCAAATAGTTACATCGAAAAACCTAACAAAGCTCACAAAAATCATAGCATTCTCTCCTTTGTAAACCTCCAAATACATTTTATAATTATATTGAAAAGATTCTTATACATTTGATTGCCTAAGTTTATTTAAAGGCAAATCTTGCAAGAATGTGTACCAACCCCAACCACCCGCGAATATAGAAGCCGATGCATCAAGTTGTCTTGATTTTCAACAGACATGTTAATCTGTGATGTTTCTCAATAACTACATCCAATATCTCATACTACATTATATAATGGAATTTCAAATAATTTTTGACATTATAAATCCATCTTCAATTAATTAATAATTATGAAGCATGATATATCATGCAAAAGATGAAATCTTTGACACAAATAACCTTAAAAAAAAAAAATACCCTTCCATCCATAGCCTTCACTGCCTTTTGAGCTTCTGCTTCAGATGCATAATTCACAAAACCAAAACCTTTAGGCCTGTTGGTGCTTGGATCCCTGATAATCCTTGCTGCATTTTAAATCAAATTAAACTTATAGAGCTATTTCAAAAATTATACAACTCTAACTAAGGCACATGAGAACCATGAAAAAATAAAAATTCAAAAAGTAGTAATAGGGGCATTTACTCACTTACCTCAGAATTTTATCTATTTACATTTATAACACCTAAACTTTCATATTTACATGCATAACACTCAAATGATTAATATTATATCAAGCATACCACTACTATTAACTTTCTAAGAAGTGAGCACCTTTTGATGCATTGATTTGTGACACCAAAGTGCTATAAATGCAAATATCAAAATTTGGGGTGTTACATATGTAAATACATAAGAATTGTGTGGAATGTATGTAAATATCCCAAAATAGAAATAAAAAACAGCTGTCTCACAGGAAAACTCATAATCAAAACACAAGCAGCTTAATGAAGACTACCATTCTTTACAGTTCCAAAAGCCGAAAATGCATCACTGAGTTCCTCATCGGTAGTGTAGTAAGATAACCCTACAAATGAAAAATAAGTAGATCACTTCCTCTTCCTGCAAGTACAGATTCATGGAGGGCGACAACTTTAAGAAAATTAAAGGTGCAGGAAATTATCTATAAAGAAAACAGAGATCTAATTCGCATTCAAAAGAATAAAGAGAAAAAATCGATAATTTCAGGATATTTTTGAACAAAATAAGAGCTAGAATCATAGAGCTGTGTCAAATATCAATAAATGCCAACCCTAGATGAGATCGTACTGCTAATAAAAATCTCGGAGCTGAAAGACCGCCTCAGAAAAATCAATCTTGCTGGGGACAGGTTCGCGGCCCTCGCGAACATCTCAAAACCCTAGAATAAGAAGCTTTCAAAGATCAACTAACCGAAATGGGCGAAGAGCCGCAGTTCGACTCGCCGGTTCAAGCTGCAGTCTGGGCTGTAGATGAACCACTGCACCGATCAACAACTTTAACTACAGTTAATAAAACTCAAACCTTGTTCGTTTAATTTATAAATAATAAAATAATAAATAATTTGGTTTAATGTCCAATAATAAATAATTTCTTAAATACTCTAGATTCTATCTCAGATACGGTATATTACATATATGGTATTTTATTAATTAAAATTTGATTAGCTACAACTTATTCATTTATAAATTTAATAATATTATTATTACATTTATAATATTTTAAGATTAATTATTAATTATATATTTATTAATTAACTCGCAACAACAACAACAATAACAACAAACCCTTAATCTCACTAAGTGGGGTGAGCTACAGAATCCTTTTTCTCCATTGAGTCCTATTTAGTGTCATATTTTCATTTAGTTCTTGTAAATTAAGATCATTTTTAATACAATAAGCCCAAGTCTTCCTAGATCTACCTTTGTCTTTCTTAACACAAGTCGAATCTAAAACATGTACTCTCCTAATCGGATAATCAGACGTTTGACGTTTAATCTGACCAAACCATCTAAGATGACTCTCTAATTTTGTAGACCACCGGAGCTACACCAATCCTATCATAGATATATTCCTTTCGCAATTTGTATTTAAGTGTAAAGCCACTCATCCACCTAAGAATTCTCATCCCGAAAACACTTAACTTAGTTCTATGCTTCTCTTTTAAAGACCAACATTCAACGCCATTGAGCATTGCAGATCTTACCACCATCTTATAAAATTTTCCTTTCAGTCTAAGCGATACTTTTCTATCACACAATAGACCCAAAGCATTCCTCCACTACAACCAACCAACGTGAATTCTACTAATAGCATCCCCATCTATATCACCATCACTTTGAACAATAAACCTGAGATATCTAAAACATTCACACCTTTTAATAATTTGATCACCTATATTTACAACTTTTTTACTAGAGCTACTACTACTAAAATTACATTCCATTCATTTAGTTTTAGATCTACTCAAATGAGGGTCTTTAGAATCCAATGTAAACCTCTATGATTCAAGTTTTTTCTGAGCCCACAAGAAGGATATCATCAACAAAAAGTAGACACCAAGGTACATCCTCCTGTAGATGTCCAGTAAGACCATCAATAACTAAAGCAAAAAGATATGGGCTTAAAGTCGATCCCTGATGTAATCAAACATAAATAGGAAAATATTTGGTCAATCCTCCTTCAGTTTGAACACAAGTAACAACTAGTATACATATCTTTAATGACTTGAATATAAGTCATATCAACACATTTCTTCTCGAGAACTCTCCAAAGGATATCTCTTGGAACCTTATCACAAGCTTTTTCTAAATCAATAAAAATCAAATGTAGATTCTCCTTATTATCTCTGAACTTCTCCATCAAACCTCTCAATAAATGTATAGCCTCCATAGTAGACCTACCTGACATTTGATTATGAGAAATCTTCGTGATGCGTCTTAACCTATGTTCAATTACCCTCCGATAGCTTTTGTGATTAACAGCTAGTTTCTAATGTATTTGATCATCTAGATTTATTTGGACCCCAAATGACTCGGCAGGTATCACAACTAGTTCTTGATGTTAATAAGTTTAAGAAGTTGAAGGTGCAATTGATATCATATTCATGAAGTAGATTCACTATATGTGTTTCGGGTTCAATTTTTTTAGGATTTCAAAAAGACCGATACTCGTACCATGTAACTTTCAGATTGTTCAATCAGGAAACCTTTTGGACCTCACACAAATTCCAAATATTTCCTCACGTCAACTGTGATAACATTAGGTCCTACAAACTTTCCACTATTGGTTTTTCTTAAAGCCTCTTCAACTTCTTTTTCACTAATGTGACGGTAAAAATGAAACATTTTATTATTATTCGCAATATTAAGATCACTAAAGTCGGTTGTATTTTCAAAAAATTTATTAAAAAGTTTATCAAAGTAACTCACCACCTATGTTAAATATCTTTTTTCTAAGAAAAGTACTTTTTGATTTTCATCTTTAATACACTTTACTTGAGTTAAATTTTTACTTTTCTTTTTTCATTGTTTGGCTAGTTTATACATATATTTTTCACCCTCCTTAATATTTAATCTATTATAAAGATCATTAAAAGCATGATTTTTAGTGTCACAATTTGTTCTTTTCGACTCCTTGCGGGTCGTTTGATGTTTTTCCCAGTTTTCTAAGCTTTTACATTTAAACCAATTTTTATAACATAATTTCTTATATTTTATCTTTTCTTGCATATTATTATTTCACCACCAACTATTTTTATTTATAAAAATTTTTTCTTTATATTCTCCAAGCACGTCTTTTGCTACTTGTTTAATAGTTTTTGTTATTTTATCCTACATAACATTTGCTTCTTCATGAATACCCCAAATTTTGAAATCTTGAATTTTACTCATAAAAATAATTTTATTTGTGTCTTTTAAGTTTTTTTATCTAAATTTACGATAATGTGTCCTAGTATTCTTTATTTTACAACAATTAATCTTGAAATCTAGAACTAATAAACAATGTTGGGTACTTAAATTTTCACTTGGAATTACCTTACAATCTTTACAATCATGATGATTTCTTCTTCTCATAAGAAAATAATCAATTTGTATTTTATTAGATCCACTCTTAGAAGTAATAAGATGCTCGTCTCTTTTCTTGAATAAAGTATTAGTAATAACAAAATCATACAGAAAAGCAAAATCTAAAATAGCTCTACCTTCTTCATTAGTTACTCCAAAACCGTAGCCACCATGAGATTTCTGAAGTCTTCTACCACTCTACCAACATGTCCATTTAAATCTCCTCCAATAAAAATTCTTTCTTCAAGAGGTATCATTTGTATTAAGTCTTCTAAGTCATTCCAAAATTTATATTTAGACACTATATCTGAACCTACTTGAGGAGCATAAATACTTATAATATTAAAAATCTTAGTATCAATGATAATCTCAATGACTATAATTCTATCTCCAACTATATTAATTTTTACAACATTATCTTTCAAACTCTTATCCATAATTACACCTACACAATTTCTAGTGTGACTCTTACCATAATACTAAAGTTTAAAACCTAAATTATCAATCTTCTTATCCTTTTCTCCAACCCACTTAGTTTCTTGAATACATAAGATATTAATTTTTCTATGAATCATAATATCAACTAATTTCATTAATTTACCATTGAGAGTACATATATTCCAAGATCCTATCCTAATATTAGTTTCATTAGTTTCATTGACTAACTTCTTTACTCGCATTCGCCCGTAATGTGGAAACCCTTGCTTATTTAACACTACACCCGGACGCCGGTGTAGCGGCCCTGCACACTTTTCACTGTATTTAGGCTATACAGCGCGTCGCTTCAAGGGGACACCCTAGCATTTACACAATGATCAAAATGATTCATGTCATGATTTTTTTCGACAAGTTTTATGCTGGTTGTTGACTACTTAACGTAATCCTTCACTTTTCACATTCGGGCTTGGGACCTGCAACGACAGTGTTATATTTATTAATTAACTCAATTTAAATAAATTAATTTAATCCATTCTCATTGTTACTTGTATTTACACCTTTTGTTTGCATTCAATGGTTAATATAGGTAAAATATTTATTATATTAATTAATTATCAATAAATTTTTTATTAAACTAATTAATTAAAATGATTACACATAAACCAATATATTATGATTAGCTTTTAAAAAATTAATAATTATTAATCACTAAAATTAATTAAATTTAATAAATAAAAATATATTAACCTTGAAACATACTCTCCTATTTGCAATCTCACTAGTCACTTCCCCTCTTGTTTCGCTGAAGCCATCTCCTATCCCCTGCTTAGAATTCTTTGTTGTTCCCTAGTACTCATGTATGTTATTTGATTACAAAAAATATTGCTTGTAATGAATATATTTTCTTATTTAATTGAGATAAATAATTATATACTAATTTAAAATTAATTTAATTTCTTATATATTTAGATCTGTAAAATTATTTGTTAAAAAATTAGTATGAAAATTCAAATACTCACTCAAATTTTTAACTTATTTATTAACTCATTTAAATACATGTTTACATAACATGAACAAATCAAGTTCAAGCATTAAAATTTTTAATATAATTTAATCTTAAATATCATGTGAAAGCTCTATACAAACTCGAGCCGAACAAAAATAACCTACAATATTAACAAGCCAAGTCCAATTCAGGACCATGATATACTCGACTCGGCTCAGCTTGATCAGCCCTAGCTACAGGTTGAGAAATGATTCACGATCTTTAAAACATGGTTTTGGGTCATTTATATCAATTTTAATTAAATCTGAAATTGTGATTTATGAACTCATGAATTATTTCACTACTGGTAGCCAAACAACCTTTAAATAATAAAAACAATAATAATAATTTGAGAAGAAATAATAAGAGGTGATATGCCACCCAAAAGTCCACTATCTTTGACACAAATGATATCTTTCAGAGTTAAATTAAAGATTATTTAAACTGAGCTTAACAAATTTAATATCAAACTAGACATCTCGATCAGCCAAAGCCAACAATATCAAAGGTAATCCAATCCAGAGTACAAATGAGCCCAGATCAAACACCTAAAACACGATTTAAATTATAAATACATTAATTAACGAGTAAAAATGTACTTTAATTATATGTGTTTATAACTAAATCAAGCATCACCATAAAATGAAATCCAAAGAATCTAATATTACACAATTATACGATCTTAAATGTCAAAATAAGAATAGACGATGATTATGGGTTTGTTTGGGACAACCGTAGCTATTTGAAAAAACTATTGAGTAGTAGTTGTGTGTTTGTTTGTATTGTTCAATTGTGCTACAACCATTTTTTTTGTTGTTTATGAAAATAATATGTTTTTGCCTTTGTGTTTTTTGTAACATAACCATTGAAGGCTTGATAACCCATACATGTAAACATAAATTACATTCAAAATCTTAAGAAAACATATGAGTTCAAATATTACATATAAAAGTGACTTTTCACTTTATAGTTGGTAGCACAACAATCTATATCAAAAATTAAAATATTAAAACATCAATTAATATTATTAAAATATTAATTTTGAAATTCGGACAATTATTCTTACGAGAGAACTTCTTCTCCAAAGATACCATCCACACTTGATTATCATCCAAAGTAGAATCAACAAACAGATCCACCCGCCTAAAAAAATCACAGTTCTGTGCTGATCTTTTTCTTAGACACGTGTAAGAAATTCTCACGTAGTTATTCTCTCTTCATAATGTAAGCAGAGAACATTTCAATTCACATTTACGATACAAGTCTCTACAAGCATCATAAGTCCTCGAGCTCATATTTAGTGAAAGTTGAAAACCACAAACATAAAATTAGCTTGTCTTAATAGTACAATAATATTTTTATATGAAATATTAGCTAAAAAGAATAATAGAAATACATAAATAAATATTTATAAAACTGCGAGATCTCATAACAAAGAGAAACTAACAAAAAAATCTGTCATTATAAGAATTCAGAAGATTTTAAAGAGAGAATATCATTGTTTCTTTTAAACCATACAATACTAGTAGAAAGACCCTCTACAATAACCCCAACATTCATATGATTGAAAAAGAAGAGCATTTTTATTACACAAATATCAATTTTATATATATTAAAATTCATCCATCGATATGAATCTCTAAGGTCATATACATCATCACAGCTCTCCAAATAAAAAACATACAAAAAAAAACTTAATAGTATCCACAGTTGCCTAGGCAGTCCTCCAAGTGACATAAAATACATGTTGAGAGAATCAAGAAATAAAAAAAAATACCTTAACAAATAGAGATTCAACATAGATATTATTGCATAAAAAGTCAGCATTAAGAAATTAATCATATCTTTTAGCTCTCCAAATAAAAAGTCAGCATTAAGAAATTAATCATATCTTTTTTCTACAATATCATATATGCATCACTTATCTGCTTTGGCAATATAATCATATCATCAGCATCCTTTTCATTATCATTGAATAGGAAAATAAATACAAAGTTATATTGTGAGTACTATTCATATTATATTATTCTTCATTTAAAAACCAAATTACATGGACTTCTCAAGTTTAGAAAATAGAAAATTAATTGTGATCACCCAAAAAAAGTCCATAATCTGTTAACATATCCTGTGGAACTGCCTTTAAAAACTATGCATTCTCTTAGTAGTGAATGCTGATAGTATTTTTGATCTAATCTTAAAGAGCTATTTATACGGTATGCATGTAAATGTGAGAGTTTAAGGGTTAGTTGTATAAAGACATGAGAATGGTGTGGTATATATCTCTGATGTATCAGAATATTCTGAACTTAATTTATCAGAATATGCTAAATCAATTCTCATCAATACTCAAACAATACTTTATCATCCTCCATTATTCCTAATCCCCAAAAGCAAGCCAAGAATAAAAATAATGTTTTATAAGTAAAAGAAAATTAAACTACGAGAAAATAAAAGCCCAAATTATTCAGCTCATCCAGCTATCCCCATGCAGGAAAACCCGGATCATAATATCCGCCGCCCGGAGGCGACGTTAAATAGAACCCATTATACCCGCCCAAATATCCACCTCCATAGCTCAATAGGGGCGGAACGCCGGCCCTTAACATCTTCATATCCATGCCCTGAATCTGGAGCTCCTCATGTCTGCTCGCAACATTCCTTCTCAACTCTTCGAGAACCTTCTGGAAGTTGTCTATCTCCTCTACACTCATTTCGTGCACCTCCATGTCGCAGGGGAGGCTTGACCCGACCCGCTGCGCCGCAATCTCTGTCTCAAGCTCTACCCTTCTCCTCCTTGCCTCCTCCAACTTCTCCAGCAACCCTGCATCCATAAGGAAACATAAGTGCTAGAGACGGGGTATAGGAAGGGATCAGTTGCTATCACTATTAGATTTAACTTTGCGTCAGGAGTTCAGTGGCCATATGCCACGTGATAAGTGGGTTTCACCCCTCTAACAACTACCAAGCCAGTATATTAAAGTGAGCCCATTTGTCACTTGACAAGTGTCAACTGGACTCCGGACGTAAATTTGAGCTCAATGTCTTGATGAAATAAGCGCACCTAAAGTTGATGTGTGGTATTATAAATAAGCAATATAGTATTTAGGTACTTGTTTAATATCTAAACTTTAATATGTATGTGTGTGTGTTTATATTTTAATTTAAAATAAAATATGTTTGATTTAACTAATTATTTTTAAAAGCATTCAAATTATTATTTTTAAATAAAATATGTTAATTTTTCTTTTAAAGAAATAATAATAACTTATAAAAACTATATAAATCAAATATATTTAAAAAAAATTAAAGAAAACCAAAATAAAAAACAAAAATTGATGCAAAACAGCCCCTAAATTCAAATTCGCTTTAATAAATCCAATCCAACTCACCTGCATGCTCTTCGTTGAGATGATGCAACTTTTCACTGTCGACTAACATCCCACACAGCTGCCCCGCCGCCGCCGCCCCAGTCCCGCCGCTGAGGAACCTCCTCGTTATGTAGTCCAATGACGGGTGGCCGAACGAAAAAGGCTTGCCGGCCGGCGAGAAGACCACTATTCCAATCTCCGCCCCGCACAGTATAGAGAGCTCCGTCGCCTTCTTGAACAGCCCCGACCTCCTCTTTGAAAAACAGACCTGCCTCGCCTCCTCGTTCTCTATCCTCTTCATCGCAATCTTTTGCCGCCCCATACTCTGCCTCTTCTTCCTCTCCATCATCATCTAATCACCAAATTAAAAATTACTGCAGGACTTCTCGGTTAGAAGTGTCCGCCCAACATAAATTTGAAATCACAAGTAAAAAAGATAAACTTTGCAGAAAAATGCAATCTTAGCTGCAGGTGAAGTTGCGGGCAGAGTTTTCAATAAATTAAGAAGATTTACCTTTGTACTTGACGATGCGCCTGTAAGTTGGCCTAAATGAGAACGGAGACCTAGAAGAAGGATTTACGTCCCCTGCTGTAGCGAACAGGGAGAGAAGACGAACGAAACTTGCTTCTATCGCCGGCGAGTGGGCAGAGGAGCAGCGCGCTTTCTTCGAGTCTCCGCTGTTGGGTGAAGTACGGTGGCGGAAGGCTTCGCCGGTGGGAGAAAAAGAACAGGAATCGTGAGAGAGAGAAAAAGCTTTGAGAGTATCTCTCTCTCGTCCTTTTTATTTCTTTCCCTTTTTATGTCTCACGATCCGGGAGAGAGAAAACGGAGAGAAAAATTTCTAAATTTAGATGGCCGCCGATCACAGAATTGAAACAAAATTTTAAATTTGAAAATATTCTTTAATGGCGCAATTAATTTGTTCGGTTCCCCTTTTTACTCTGAATAATATATATATATA